GCAAAAGTTGAGGGAATTCATAACCGTTAGACCAGCCCTACAAAAAATGCTTGAGGGAGTTCTACATCCGGAAGAATAAGGACAATATCTACCACACACAAGAGTGTAAAATTCACTGACAGAACAGATTCACAAACGGGAAAAAGAAGGGAATCAAATGTTATCATGAGAGAAAACCACCAAATTGCAAAGACGAAACAAAGAAGAAGAAACAAAGGATATACGAAATAATCAGGAAACAATTAACAAAATGACAGGAGTTATTTCCTCACCTATCAATAATCTTGAATGTAAATGGTTTAAAATCCCGAATTAAATGACATAAATAAACTGGATTGAAAAAGGACCCAACTATATGCTATCAACAAGAAACTCACTTCACCTGTAAAGACACATGTTAAAAGTAAAGCAAAAAAGATATCCCATGCAGGCTAGGTGTGGTGGCTCACACCTATAATAAGCCTAGGTCTCTGGGAGGCTGAGACAGGAGGATAGCTTGAGCTCAGGAGTTCAACACCAGCCTGAACAACAGTGAGACCCCATCTCTACTAAAAAGAAAAAGGGGGAAAAAATTAAAAAGATACCCCATACAAACAAAAACCAAGAGTATGCAGAGCTAGCCAAACTTAGACAAAATAGACTTTAAGTCACAAAACATAAAAAGGGACAAAAAGCTCATTGTCGAATGCTAACGGGATCAATTCAGCAATAGGATATAACAATTGTAAATATATATGCACCCACACTGGAGTACCCACACTGGAGTATAAAGCAAAAGTTATTAGAGCTAAAGAGAGAGAAAGAGAAAAAGAGAGAGAGAGAGAGAGAGAGAGAGAGAGAGAGAGAGAGAGAGAGAGAGGGAGAGCGCGCGCGAGTGAGCGAGAGCGCGAGAGCTTTCAATACAATAATAGTTGGGGACTTCAACGCACCACTTTCAGCTTTGGACAGATCATCTAGACAGAAAATTAACACAGAAACATTGGATTTAAACTGCACTATAGACCAAATGGACCTAACAGACATTTACAGAACATTTCATTCAACAGCTGCAGAATATACATTTTCTCATCAACACATTTAACATTTTACAGGATGGACCATATGTTAGGACACAAAACAAGTCTCAACATATTTTTAAAAATTGAATTTCTATCAATTATCTTCTCAGACCAAAATGGAATAAAACTAGAAACCTATTGGTTTCTAGGAACATTGAAAACTGTACAGATACATGGAAATTAAACAACATGTTCTTAAACTATCATTGGATCAATGAAGAAATTAAGAAGAAAATAAAAAAAATTTTTTTTGAAACAAATGAAAATAGAAGCACAACATTCCAAAACTTATGGGATACAGAAAAAAGTGGTACTAAGAGATAAGCTTATAGGAAAAACACCTACATCAAAAAAGGAAAAAGATTTCAAATAAACAACCCAACAATGCACCTCAAGGAACTATACGAGAACAAATAAAACCCAAAATTAGTAGAAGGAAAGAAATAACAAAAGTCAGAGAAGAACTAAACAAAATAGAGTAAAAAAAATACAAAAGATCAACAAATGAAAGGTTGTTTTTTTAAAAAAGACAAAGTCAATAAACCATTAGGAAGACTAAGGAAAAAAGAGAGAAGACCCAAATAAATAAAACCAGAAACAAAAAAGGAGACATTACAACTGATACCACAGAAATCTAAAGGATCATTAGAGGCTATTATGAACGAACATATACCAACAAACTGGAAAACCTCGAGGAAAAGGATAAATTCCTAGACACATGTAAACTACAAAGATTTAACCAGGAAAAAAATGCAAAGCCGAACAAACCAGTAACACATTGTGAGACTGAAACAGTAATAAAAAGTCTCCAAGGACCAGACCAGAGCTGGATAGCTTTACTGCTGAATTCTACCAAAGTTTTAAAGAAGAACTAACACCAATTCTTCTCAAACTATTCCAATAAATTGAAGAGGGAATTCTTTTTAATTCATTCTATGAGGCCCACATTACCCTGATACCTAAGCCATCAAGTACACACGCTAAAAAGAAAACTACAGGCCAATATCCTTGATGAACATAATTGCAAAAATCCTCAACAAAATATTAGCAAACCAAATCCCACAACATATCAAAAAAATTATACGCCATCCACTGAGTGTGTATGGAGGAAAAAGAAAATTTTGAAAAAGAAAAAAAAAAAATGCACCATGATCAAGTGGAATTTATTCCAGGTATGCAAGGATGGTTCAACATATGCAAATCAATAAAAGTGACACATCACACCAACACAATAAAGACCAATAAAGGAACATAATAAAGGCTATATATAACAAACCCATAGCTAACATCATACTGAATGCAGAAAACCTGAAAAAGAACTAGAACAAGATAATGATGCCCACTTTTACCATTCCTATTTAGCATAGTACTGGCAGTCCTGGCCAGAGCAATTAGGCAAGAGAAAGAAAGAAAGGATATCCAAATTGTAAAAGAAGGAGTAAAATAGTCCTTCTGCTTTGCACAAGACACAATTTTATATATAGAAAAACCTAAAGACTCCACCAGAAAACTGTTATAACTGATAAATGAATTCAGTAAAGATACTGGATAGAAAATCAATATACAAAAATCAGCAGTGTTTCTATACACCAATAACTGGCTGAAAAAGAAATCAAGAATTAATCCCATTAACAACAGCTACAAAAAAAGAAAACACCCAGGCATGTATTTAACACAGGAGGTGAAAGAGCTCTGCAATGAAAACTACAAAACACTCATGAAAAAAACTGAAGAGGCCACATGAAAATTAAAAGACATCCTATAATCATGAATTGAAGGAAATTAAAAAAAAATCAATATTGTTAAAATGACCCCACTACCCAAAGCAATCTATAGTCAATGCAATCCCTACCAAATATCAATGATATTCTTCACAGAAATAGAAAAAAATGATCCTAAAATTCATTTGGAACCACAAAAGAGCCTGAATAGCCAAAGCAATACTGAGCGAAAAGAACAAAGCTGGAAGCTTAACACTATCTGACTTCAAAACATACGACAAAGCTATAGTAACCAAAACAGCATGGCATTGTTATAAAACAGACACACAGACCAACGGAACAGAATAGAGAATCCAAAAATAAATTTACTTATTTACAGCCAATTCATTTTTGGAAAAGGTGCCAAGAACACATATTAGGGAAAAGACACCCTCTTTAATAAATCGTGCTGGAAAAACTGACTATCCATATGCAGAAGAATGAAACTAGACCCCTATCTCTCACCACATACAAAAATCAATTCAAAATGGATTGAAGACTTAAACATGAGACCTGCAACTATAAAACTAGTAGAAGAAAACATAGGGGAAATGCTTCATGACATGGGTCTGGGCAAAGATTTTATAGGTAAGACTTCAAAGGCACAGGGCAGCAAAAACTAAAATAGAAAAATGGGATTATATCAAACTAAAAAGCTTCTGTACAGCAAAGGAAACAACAGAATAAAGAGACAACCTGTACAATGTCAAATATTTGCAAACTATTTATCTGACAAGGGACTAATATTCAGAATATATAAGGAACTCAAACAATTGAAGAGCAAAAAAAAAAAAAAAATCTGATTAAAAAATAGGCAAAGGACGGGTGTGATGCTCCCTGTCTGGGAGATGGGCACACTTGTAGCTCTGACTCACACGGTGCAAAGGCAATTTATGTAACCAATGTCTTTGTACTCCCGTAATACTCTGAAATAAAAAATAATAATTAGAAAATAAAAAAATACAGGCAAAGGATCTGAATAGACACTTCTCAAAAGACGACATACACATAGCCAACAAATATGTGAATAAATGCTCAACATCACTGATCATCAGGAAAATGCAAATCAAAAGCCCAATGAGGTATCATTTCACCCCTGTTAGAATGGCTATTACCAAAAGGACAAAAAATAATAAATGCTGGTGGGGATATGAAGAAAAGAGAACTCTTATCACTGGTGGGAATGTAAAGTAGTACAGCCATTGTGGACACAGTGTGGAGGTTTCCTAAGAAATCTGCTGGGATTACGATCTAGCATTCCCACTACTGGGTATTTAAAGAAAGGAAAGGAGGTCAGGATATGGAAGACATACCTGCACCCCCACATTTACCGCAGCACTATTCACAAGAGCCAAGATATGGAAGCAACCTAAATGTCCATCATCAGATGAATGGATAAAGAAAATGTGGTGTATGTATATACACAATGGAATACTATTCAGTCATTTAAAAGAATAAAATCCTGTCATTTGTGGCAGCATGGATAAGCCTCGAGGACATTAGGTTAAGTGAAATAAAGTCAGACACAGAAAGATAAATAGTGCATGTTGTCACTCATATGTAGGAGCTAAAAAAAAAATGAGCTCATATAAGTAGAAAGAATTGTGGGTATTAGGGGCTGGGAAGGGTAGTGGGGAGGAGAGAATAGGGAGAGGTTGGTTAAGGGACATAAAATTACAGCTGGATTGAATAAGTTCTAGTGTTCTATAGCACTATATTGTATATAACAATAATTTATTGCCTATTTTTTAAAAGCTAGAAGAGAGGGTTTTAAATATTCACAATACAAAGAAATGATAAATGTTTGAGGTGACAGATACACCAATCACACTGATTTGATCATTACACATTGTACGCATCGAAATATCACTCTGTATCTCAAATATGTACAATTATCACATGCCAACCAAAAAGGAAGGGAAAAAAGTTTTTTAAATCCTTTAAAGAATTTATAATTTCCTTAAGAATGTTTTATTTGCTATTTTTATATATTTTGCCTACCATTAAAAGCCCTGAGGGCTTTTTGGTTAATTTTCTTTACCCAAAGTATCTTCATTATGACATATTTTTTAAATGTATCACTATATTAACATGACAGTCAGAGTCAAACATAATTGCCATCCCTACAAAGCAGAAATTTTATTTATTTTTTTTGTCCAAAATCAAAGTGCTCTGTTCCTACCTTTTAAGGACAAGGGACTGGATCTTGTGAATTCTGTGTTTGACGGCCTGTGCTGTTTACGAACTTGCAAGTACTCCTTAACTCTTGAATCAATGGTTTCTTTTAACAGTAAACAGACTTCCTAAAATACATAAAAAATTGGATATAACTTTCTAATTTAATGCAATGCAAAAAGTTAACACAGTACATATTAAAAAGTTAACAGTGAACATTTCATTTTGTTTGCTTTTTAATTTAGCTACAAATGCTGAAAGGAATGCTATGTGTGCTCGTGGATAACACTATGGATTTCGATTTGCTAGTAAGGTTTGTTCGAAACCATGATGTTGGCTCACTGTGTGACCTGGGAAATTCATTTCATTTCTCTCTGTCTCAGTTTCACATTTCTTAAAAGGAAGAGAAAAACACTTCAATGTAAACATTAGGGTGACAAGGTGATAAAACCAGTGAGCTAAAGAATGTTTTCATGTAAACATCAGTTGTTGCATTGTGATAAACAGAAGAGGAGAGTCAAATAGAGCCAAACAGGCCGGCAGCAAGGGCCCCAGGGAAATTTCCACTGTGGCCAGGCAGGGGGCTATGGACGGGGAAAGAGCCAGGAGTAAGGCCATGTTCGCACACTGTTGGTGCCCATGGCGTGGAGTGCCCAGATCTTCCAATTTGTTCACCAGGAGCCAGAAACATTGATTTTATACAAAATTTCCCATGTTTCAAACTTGGTCCAAAAAAAATTTTTTTTAATATAAACACCATCATTCATTAGTTTCTGGCTTCAGGTTTACAAATCTACTGAAGAAGGAACAGCGCTGTGCAGTGGGTTAAACCGAAAAATCACGACCAGTAGTCTGATTTTTTTCCACATTCTTGTTAATGATACTGTATGTGCCCATTTGCTTTTGTTAAAACTGCACTACAGTCACCACCTATGAATGGTGAAAATGATTTAACGTCTCTAAAGTAGATTAACATTTATTAGGCAACAGAAATGCGTGGTTTTAATTCAATTTCAACATACCATATAACTAGCAAATTTCTGGGTATGTCAATTGTTTTATACAGTATATTGGTGTTATTTATAAAGACAAACAAAAATTTAAGCCCAACCACATAATGGGAAGATATTCTGCAGTGTTTCCTGCACTACCAGGAAAATGTAACCTAATGTAGGAAAAGGGAGTAAAATTGCATGCAAAAGAACTGATGTTTAAAGACTGATAATTCTTCCCAAAGACTCTACAGCAGGCTCAGAGTTGCCCAGGTCACTTCAAACCTGTTTCACTGGTTTCTTGCAATGTCATCTCAGGTTGATCTCTTAAGAATCTTCATAAATTAAAACAAGAACAAAGTTTTTAGCTGCTCTGAAGAGCAATGCTAGTGAAACTCTTCTTTTATTACAAATACTTGGACCCCTCAAACAGTGTAACTCACAAATGTGAATTTCCTGCTTTTCATTTAACAGCCCAAAGATGCAGTGCCTTGTGGAATACAGAGATATCCGTTTACAGTTGAGTGTTTTGGCATTGTTCACACGACAGAAAGGCAGCCTTGCCTCACGCTGGGTTGTTTTTTTTTCTTTAACAATTAAAGAATTTTGCTTCACATGCAGGGTTCAACTATGACTGAGCTAGAAAATATGTGAAAGACATACATGGAAACAAGGATTGCTAAAATTTGGTCATAAATGCCCTATAAGGCTAGAACTAAAAATAGTATGACAAAAATAAAGCAAAGGCCCATACACATAAACTTTCCCCCTCTAGTTATGGGGCTGTCCTTCCATGAGTCAGGTTTGACAAATGAAAGGTAGGCCATGAGCAATGTGGTCAAGATACTCGAGTAACTGACCACATCACACTTGGGGAAGTATCCTCTTCAGAACCAGAGCAATTTGAGAAAAGAAAAACCCCCAGCTACATGTGAGGGGCAGATGAGGAGACACGTTAAAATCAGTGGACAAGAGAGAAATACAGAGGGCATCTCTAGGCTAACGGGGGCTTATGTTCCCTTCCTCAAGTTTACAAATGGAACAGTTTGAGTTGGACTGTTTGGGTACAAAGACTACTCTTGCTGGACTCAAAATAAACATAGGTTTAATACATGTAATTAATTCCTTTTTCTAGAAAGGAACTGGATATTCTTAGGCTTTCACTATATAAAGGGACTGTTAAAATGTAATGAAACTGGTTGCTCATGAAATCCCAATCATGAGATGATCTAATGATAAAAAAAGATGAAAGCTCTGGGACACTGAACACAGACTAAAGTCATATCCTTTCCTCAGCTAGCTTTTCTCCTTTCATACACAAATTATCCCAGGGCAGTTTTAATCAGTGAACATATTATTTCAAAGGAGCAACATGACGTAGCAGCAGCAAACCAACTACTTCGCCTTGAGAGGAAAGCTCGGCTTGCTGGCACACCTGCCCGCTCGTGGCCGCCACTGCCACGCTGCTCTGCAGGTCCCATCATGCACCGCGCATCTTTGCTAAGTCATGCCCCACTGCCCTCCAGTAGGTACCAGGTGGAGCAATGCAGCCGCAGGTAGCACCTTAACAAAACTTAGCCTCGTGCTTTGGCTAAGAGGTGACTCACATACGCATGGCTTTATTTTAAAGCATTCCGAATCAAGTGTCTGTTTTGGGCAAAATTGGTTAAACATCAACAAGAAAGGTCTAAGACCAAGGTGGTAAATGGAGGAAAAGAATGGGCCTGGAATGGTGGATTCTAGAACACTGTTAATGTAAGTCGAGTCAGGAGATTTTGGGTGAGGTCCCCTCAGGTGAATATTAGTCACTTTGGGGAAATGAATGAACTGTTTTGAATCACGGGGACGTATGCTAGTCAGCTACAGCAGGGCGTTACAGGAAGGTGCGTGGCAGTAGGAGATGCTGGTCTGCTAAATGTTTACAAGTCCTGAAGAGTCAGGCATGGTGGCTCATGCCTGTACCCTGGCTAACTCAGGAGGCTGAGGCGAGAGGATCCCTTGCAGGTCAGGAGTTTGAGACCAGCTTGAGCAACAAATTGAGACCTCATCTCAAAAAAAAAAAAAAAGGTCTGAAGAGGAAAATCCACGGTTATTTACCTGAAGGATAAATCCCATCATAATGAACCTAAGCTTTGGGTTCCTAGGTATCCTTTACAAAATAGTGACAGCAAAGTCCTGGTGATATTACCTTTTGACTGAAAATGTCTTATCCTACAAATTTTGGGGGAGTGTGGGAGGATTTTTTTTCTACTGATCTCCAAAAGCTGACTGAAAACAGTTACCACAGAAAAGCTTTTATATTTTTTTGCCACTATTATTAGTTTCTTTTCCATATGCTACCTTTTAATAAAACTTTTTATTTCTCGCTCTAAAAAGCAATCGTGATAAATGAACATCATGGAGAACACAAAGTGTGATGATATTGTGAAAGTTATATACAAGTTGCTACCCGGCCAACCCCACTCTTTGGTGAGCAGGGACTGGAGAACTAAATGCATCTTGGAAGCCTCCACCACGATGGCATTCAGGTGAGAGCACCGAAATTTAGAACTAGGAGTAGCCTTAGCATCTAGTAGAACCCTTCCACCTGCAGGGGAGGAGGCGGAGGATGAGGGAGGTCCGCCATGCTCCTATGCCCAGGACCAGTCGCTTTCCTGGCTGACCAACATGAGGGAAGGAACACAGTCAAATATCTCCTCGCCTGTCAAAGGCTCATGATAATAAAAGGATGGCAGAAAAGCAGCAGCTTTAAGACAGGTGTGAAGGATCAGCTTGTGTTAACCTCCACACCTGCTCCAGGTGTTCAGCCCATCCTTCCAAACCAGTCAGATTAAAATGCCTGCTCACCTGGAATAGTCACCTTTAACTACTACTTTTTCTCTTTTTAAAATGGAGAAGCCCTTTCTCCAGGCCCCACACCAAGAGGTAGGAAATTTCTGTTTTAAATAACAGAGTAGCACCGTGAAGTGAATGGATGTGACAGTTTCTGAATGGAAAAAAAGAAATGTGCGTATATGTGTGTCTGTTGTTGGGAATACAATTGTTTTCCAGGGGATAATTACCACTTAATATTTTTTCCCCCACTAACAAAAATGAAAGCTGGAAAGACCTAACATTTCTTCCAGTAGTAGCAGTTACTTGCATTTAAAGTGTAAAAAGTTTCACTGTACCTCTTTCTTCTGATCAGAAAACCAGCTGGTATCTTTGTTTGACTCTCGTGGCAATATATGCAGATCCACCAGGACAGCAAAATTTCCACACTGAAAGACATTGATGGCAGAGTCAGGTCTGCAAGGCTCACGTCCAGCAAATGATGAGAGAAAAATCTCACCAATTCCTGTGTGGTTGCTCACGATGAAATGACAACAAAGTTCACTGCTAGGCAGCAATCTTAATACCGCACAGGGCTACAGGTCGTATCCTGCTGCTTTTCCAAAGTTTGAAATTTATAATGGAAATGCTAAGGAGAATTGCAGTGTCAATCAGGATAGGAAAGACAAAATATTTGTCTCTGGGCAGCATCTCGAAAGGGGATGCCCATGTATCCCAGGGGCAATTGGAAGACTGTTAAATATTGAGGGAAGTTAAACAGGCCAGGACTAGGTAGGCTCCAGAAAGAATGATTCCACGCACAGCCGGAAGAATTCTTTCTTCTAAGCAGGAAAGAGCAGATATAAGCTACTGAATTTTCAGACAAACAGAAGGACCGGCTGGGATGTAAAACAGAAGCACAGAAGATGAGAAAGACCCAGAAGAGAAAGGTAGATGCTGAATGCTGGTTATCAAAACTAAAGAAACTTGCATTGAAATATGCTACAAAACTGTACACGGCCTACCTCTCTTCTTATTCTATAGGCTAGCACTGTCCAGCACTTTAGAAAAAATGGAAATATTCTATATCTACGCTGTTCAATAGCACAGCCCATAGCCACATGTGGCTCCTGAGCACTTGAAATGTGGCTATTGTGACCAAGGAGCTAAATTTAAAATTTTAATTTGAATACCCACATGTGGCCAGTGGCTCCGTATTAGACAGCACAGCTACAGACCGTGTGAAAAGTCGTAGGCTTATAAATCCTCACACCTTGAGTAAAGTACTTTCTGAGAATCACAATATAACTGTGAACAAACTAATCTACAAATGAATGGGAGACCAAGACTGTAGGCTGGGGATATTCTAAGAGGCATGGCCCACAGGAAAAAATCAATTTCACCTTTTTGGCTGAATAGTTTTTTTGTTTTGTTTTTTAAAATTCTGTGCTAAAAATCAATGGTGAGAGGAAAGTAGTGTCAACAAAGTGTTAAAACATCAGACATAAATATGGAAAGAAACTGAAACATGATACCTACCTCACACCATATACAAAATTTAATTTGTGATGGATCATAGACATAAATGTGAAAGTCAAAACTATTTTCCCAATCTCTGGGATAGGAAAAGATTTCCTAGACAAGATCCAGAAAGCACCAGGTATTGAGGAAAAAATTGTTAAATTTAACATTGCCAAAATTAAAAACTTCTGTTCATTAAAAAACACCATAAACAAAATGAATATGTATGCCACAGACTTGGAAAAAAATGTATTCATAAATACATATATCTGGCATAAAGGACTGGTATACAAAACATGTAAAAAAAAAATCTTTTTATCTTTAAAATCCAGTCATATAACGTGAATAAATGACCCTATCTTTGCAACCACACACATAAAAATTTTATCTTTAAAATCCAGTAATATAACATGAATAGATGACCCTATCTTTGTAACTACAAAAAAAAAAATTTACCTTCAAAACACGTAAAGAGCTACAAATGGATATTAAAAACCAAACAACCCAAATTCAGACATTTCACCAAATTAAGATAAATGAATGGCTAATAAGAACATGAAAACAGTGTTCAACATCATTAGTCATTAGGCAAATGCAAATTAAAACCACCAAGAGATACTAAATACAACTACAAATTCCCCCCAGAATGACTAAAATTAAACAGACTGACACCACACTGAATGCTATTAAAGATATGGAGTCACCCAAACTCTCATACTTTTCTCGTGAAAATGGAAAATCATTTAACTACTTTGGCAAACAGTTTGCCAGTTTTCTATAGCTAAAAATTCATTTATTTACCAACTGAGCCAACAATTCCACCCAAGAGAGAGAAACGTATGTGCACACTAAGACTTGTATGCGAATGTTCATGAAGTTTTATCCATAATAACCCAAACTGAAGACAACCCAAACGTCTATCAACAGGAGAGCAAACAAATTGTGGTACATTCATGCAGCAGAACGCTACTTACCACACTGCTGATATACTCGACATGGATTAATCTCAAAAACATTAGGCTGAGCAAAAGAAGTCAGAGCAAAAGAATACACACTGTATGATTCCATTTACATAAAATTCTAAAACAGCAAAACCAACGTACAGTGAAAGAAATCAGAGCAATGACTGCCCAGAAAGTAACTGGCTGAGAACCAGCACAAAGAAACTTGGTGTGGTGATGCGAATGTTCTGTATTTTGATGGGATATCTTAGGTATACACCTGAGATCAGTTCCTTTCACTCTATATAAATTACACATCAATAATAAATAATTTTTGAACATTGTGTAAAAATGCATTCATATTTGTTGGTAGTTATTCAAAATGTAGGTACTATGTCCCTAAAAATGTATGGGTATTTTGAGAGAGACCAAAATGAACTGTGAAGCATGATGAAAGATGGTTTCCTATGATGTCAAACACTGCACTGTGACCCACTAAACTGCGGGTTAGCATGCTGCAACCAGCATTTTATTTTAATGAAAGAGAATATTAGAATGCAATAAAAAATATTAGTGTCACGTGGTAAGGCCAAGAATTGTTTTGTGAAATATTAGTATGTATTACTGAGTTGTGATGGAAAGCCTATTTCTTATTGCAGGTTGTGGTTGAAAATGTTTGAAAATTATATGCAAGTATACTGTTATTTTTAAAGTTTCTTCTCAACTGTTGATTATAGATTTAACCTTTAAGGAGTATGCTGCCACCAGGTGGAGGTCGAATGCCACAACTAGAAGATCTCAGCCAGGAAATATTAACCTTTTGTGTGCCATGGACCTCTTTAGCCATCTGTGAAGCTGATGAAACTTGCTCAATGTTGTTTTTATTTTTTATTTTTGTTTTAGAGATAAGGTCTCACTATGTTACCCAGGCTGGATTCAAACCCTAGGCTCAAGCGATCTTCCTGTCTCAGTTTCCCAAATAGCTAGGACTTCAGACGTGCATCATCACACCTGGCTAGAATAATGTTCTTAAATGCATAAAACACAACACATAGGATTAAAAAGAAAACCAATTATGCTGCAGTATGGTTATCAAAACAAAAGAAAAATCTGTGATATAGTAATGTATGCACTTGTTTATTAAGGTATTGGATCTTGTCACATAGTGGTGGATCTAATGATACTATAAATCTGAAGTAGTGATGAACATAAATGATATTTGCAGATACCTGCAACAATTATTATATGAAAAGAGCTATAATTTCTAATGGTGGCAAATATTGCTAATACTATTGTGTTTTGAATCCTACATTCATAATGAAAGGAAAACTAAATTTATTAGAATTTGGTCAAAATAAAGATACAACTTTTTTTTTTCCTGATCCAAATTCACTGAACCTCTGGACTCTATCACAGGCCCACTGAAATTCCAGGGATTCTGGAATAAAAGCTCTTCTAATGCTGTGGGATGTGCCTCACATACATTTTACTGAGGTTTCCTATAGGTTCTCTACTCTGATTCTTCATTCTAAAACAAGTTCTCTGCTACCTCTTTATTAGCAAAAATAATTCTTAAAATAATTTGTAAAAAATAATGAAGTTTAAACAGCTTGAATTGATACTGTCACAGTAGCTTTCTAAAGGATTAAATAGTAAGGTCCAATTTGGTATTTTGCTTAGCATTTTGTGACTTTGGTCACGGATAACCTAGTTTAAGTTTGATTATAAACAGACTGATTAGAATGTCTTGTTTTTGTTTTTTAATAAATCATGGAATCTTATGCTGGTGATCAGACTTTCCCAGGGTTTCTGGATGACTCCAGTCCCCTCCCCCACAGCAGACTCCCCCTGTGCAGCCCGAAATTCTGAGTGCTCCAGCTTGAGCTCTCTCAAACTCCCACACTCCTCAGAGGTATTTTGCCTTTCTAAAGTCCCCTGCTCTTAAAGCTTTGCTTTTTTTCTCCCATGCGTAAACAGAAGGGAAAAAAATGAAAGAAAGCTTCTTACCACCGCCAGCAATACAGCCTCCCTTTCTCCTCCTCCTTAATTAGGAGGAGGCTATTTCTACTCTCAGAGGATAAATTCTCCAGCTCTCTTCTGAGAGGAGCGAGACGGTAACCATCACTTTTTTCTCAGGCCAGAGCTGGTCATTTTGCAGAGGCCAAGTTGCCTCTTTAGCAGCCCACAAGCTGCTAGAAGCTGCTTCACAGCCTACACTGCACTCTGAGTCCACAGGCCACAGGCCAGGGCCTCATCCTAGCTTCCATCCTCTCCTCCCAGAGGTTTCAGCCAACAACCTGGGAGTCACCCCTAACCCCTCCCTTTCCCTAACCCTACAGAACCAGTCAATGCATCTTGTCAATTTCATTTTTTAAAGAGGTCTCAAATATTCCTCTTCTCTTGTTCTGTTGCTCACAGTATCTCCCACTCGGGATATTAGAGCCACTTCTATTGGTGGCCCCAATGAACCCTCGATGCCTCTACCAGGGCAAGCTCCAACACACAAATTGGATCAGTCTGCTCCTGCCGTAGCTCAGAGCAGTGTGTCCCAAGCCTCTGGTGAGGCCCCACCTCTCCCTAACCCTCCCGTTGTCTCCTACACATGCCTGCATTTTTCACCCTTGGCATAGAAGGCACCTTACAGCTCCCATGCTTGGTGACCTTCTATGCATCCTCGAACCCTAGCAGGAGCGTGGCCATCTCCGTGAAGCTCTTCTGAACGGTTTCTCCCTCCCTCCTCTGGATCAGACACATTTCTCCTGTGCTTATTTACTTCTGCATTCAATGACTGGTCCATGCAGGGTCCCCCCTGGCTAGACTATTGGCTCTGTGAAGACAGGGTCCATAGAGACAGAGACCTCTGTCAACCATGTATCTGTAATGATTAGCGCAGTACCAGCTCACAGTAAATGCTTAATATTTAATGAGAGGAAGAAAGAACAAATGACAGAATAAATCAGCCCCAAGTTTTGGGTAAATCACAGCCT